ATTTTTAAATATAGAGGAAGGGTTGTTACTATAAATCCCCCAACCCCACCCCCCTTGGATCTGCCCCTCATAGAGTTTGCGTTAGTTGTAATATTATATATATGAAAATATTTTGGAAGGTTTTCCCTCTTGGCCATGATATGTGTGCACAGACGATTGGTATATGGCTGTGGATTGTGCCAAAGAAATTTAAGGACAGCACTGGACAAGAGTTCACCGTGGTTCTTCTTGATTCTGAGGGGATCGACTCCCCATTAGGCTTCAGTGACAACAGGAATTTTACACTGATTGTTTTGTTGTGTTCCATTCTGATCTATAACTCTGCTGGTGTTGCAGGCAGATCAGATCTGGAAAAGCTTGAGTATCCAATCCATAAATGCAATTTACGTAATACATATTTTATGCGGTTATGACGGAATAAGCTTCATAATTCCCCGGCCCGAACCAACGGGAGAAGACGACGGGGTTTGTTTTAAAAAACACTGTTCTTGTACAAACATTCCTGGCAAAGGGATTTTGAGCTACATTGTTGACCATCTCACAAGCAAATGTGGCGCCCTTCCTTCTTTAAGATAATTTTGTTCCTGGCAAACGTTTTTAAGGTCGAAAAAGGCTTTCCTGGAATGTTTTTTCCTGAATTTCTCGCTGGCAACCAATTGTGACTTACAGCTGGCTAACCCGTCGGCTAAACCTTGCTACACTAAGTCACTGTTACAGTCATTATATTTTAGAACAATATATTTTCAACATACCTTAACATATGTATAGTTTCATTGTCAAGTTGTCTGAGCGAATTCAGCTTTATACGTCAAAGAAAAATCACCAAGATGAAAAAGATTTCTATGAGGCATTCCCGTATTTCATCTGGCTTTTGAGAGATGTGATTTTAAAATTGCCGCCAAATTGTTCCAACATCAGAGAATATTTCACGAAAAAAGTTAGTAAATCTCTATCTGTTATGTCATTGTTGTTGTTGTTTTTAGAATTATTCATTTAGATGATTTTTTAAACATGATCGAAATATAATCACTTCTTCGAYTCAGGTATTCAATTGCAAAGAAGAATCGAACACCGAAGAATCAAGATTGGCATCTCAAAAAATCTTACAGTATTTCTCGGGCTTTGATGCCTTTGATATTCCACCGCCCACTTGGGACACCGAGGTAAGTTTTACATTTCTTTTGAATACTGTATTCAAGAAATATAAAACGGCGCGCGTGTCTCTGTCCTCTGATATAAGGGACGGTCCATTTAACTTTTGAGTGTTTCTCTTGCTTCTCGAATTTCAACTCCCACCGTGTTAATATCAGAGGACAGAGACACAAGCGGCCGTTTTATATTTATTTTATAAAATTTCTCTTCTGATATAAACACGGTCGTCAGCCAATCAGAGTGCGCGTTATATATCAAAAATTTTATAATGCTCAATACTAAGTCTCGTTATATATATAATAAAGATATTTATCACAGGTCATGGAAGATTTGGATGGCAGAAAGAGTGAAGTTAATCCACAATTTCATAAACAATTCGAGCTTTTCAGAGCTTTCATACATACCAAACTGTCACCCAAAAAGGCAATCAAAAAAGGAGAGTTTGTGACTGGTGAAGGTAAATCGTGCTTTGAATATAAAACAAACAAACGATGAATTGATCGTTTTCAACCATTCYCATGAGATTCAAAAGATAATAGGCCGCCATGGAGGAATGAACAATAGATACTAATGAGAAATCCTTGTTGAAGTTCCTCCAAGATGGCCGCTTTGACAAAGAATAACGTTTTTGATAAAACTCATAACACACTGCATATTGTTGGGTGGAATTATTCAATATGTGAAGTAGATCATGACAAATGAGCTATACAACATTATAAAAATTATTTGCACATTTTCACAGGACTAGCAGCACTAGTCCAGCTTTATGTAGACGCTCTCAACACTCCGGGCGCTGTACCCAACGTAGAAGAGTCCTGGGATACATTTGCCAATACCAAATGTCGTGAAGTATTGGAAGATGCTTTGAGGAAATACCAACAGGAAATGACGTCATTCGTGGAGAATATGATGCCTTGCGAAGCCGATGAGCTAAGATCTGCGCATGAACAAACCATGGAAAAATGTCTCGAAACGTTTAAAAAAGAGACATGTTTCTTCTCTATTGATAGTGTGGCGCCGTATTTGCAGGAATTGACAGTAAGTTATTGGTCACTGTGAGGGAAAGGCGATTTAGAGGTCGCTCAATTCAGACCATGTGATGGTTTAGGTCTAGGGAGGTCTTTTTGATTTAAGTTTATTAAGATTCTGCAACCAGCTGATATATAGGTTATCGGTACCTCAGGTCAGCCTAAATACTTGATATTGACGGCGTTCATATTTTATCCTCAAGGGGAAGACAGATATCCTATTGTTTGGATGGCTTCAAATAAACAAACAAAGAACTGAAGAGAGCTGCAAAGCATTAATCAAAGAGCTTGAGAAAACAATATTGGATCCAGTTCTTAGTCGCCTTGTAGGCCCTGATGGATCTCAGATGGATTTTAATGAGCTCGTAGAGGCATATAAACTAATTGAGCAGAGATACAAAGATGAAGGGCGTGGTGATCTGGAAACTAAAGCGCTTGCTTTTGTGGATATGAATTCAGTAAGTGATTTTAAAAGTGCCGWCCTTCATGGATAATATTTGATGATAAGAGCAACCTCTTCTAAGGTGGTTGAAAATCAGAACCTAGGACATATAGTAAGCTTCTTGAATCAAGATAGCCAAGTCTTCATGCATATAATTGTTAGCCTTGGATGTTACCAATCACAGACAGCCCCCAATTACAGCTCATCCCATTTATTTCAAAAATGGGAATTCAAAAGGACTTTTATCACAAAAATGATATATAAAAATGAAATATTTGACTTTTAGAGGCTAAATGACGAAATGACTAGAAACTGGGACATCCTGGAAAAGCTAAAAAACTACGATGCTTTGCTAGCAAAGGAAAAAACACAAAAAGCCAAAATGGAACAGGAAAAACAAAGAGCCAAAGTGAGTAAATTATTACAGATAGATCATATCTGCGTCTTATGATCTTTTAATCATACACAATTCGAGTGCACGCCAAAAAAGCATGAAACAATTCTTAACTATCAACATCTAACAAGGTTTTGTTATCAACTAACTAAGAATTCACTGGGGCATGAACACAATGCCAGAAAGGAAACTTGTCTTTGTTTACGCCTCACTGGTGTCCTCACTGAATTCTTAGTTAGTTGATAACTAAATCTTATTAGTCGCTAATTACTTAAGAATTGTTTCATGCTTATGTGGCGTGCACTCTATCTATAAAATACCTGACACATTCAAGGTTTCTCTCTATAGCGGAAGAAAGAAAAAACTATTTTACAACATAATTTACATTTATTTAATTTACATATTACATGGTCGCTTGAAGATACAAATTTATATAAAATCCGCATCTCCGCGCGCCCATGTAATATCCTCTATATATATGTTTCAGCTGTTTCAGTATACGATTTTGATATTTTCTTTTCAGGAAGAAATGAAACGTCTGGAGAAAGAACAAAGAGACAGACAAAAAGAGGTCAGAACATGTATTCTTTATTTGTACGCGGAAAGAAAAGTATTACTAAACCCCGAAGAAATAATGCGAGCAGATTTTTCAATCAAGAGTGAGTCTGACCAAATAACTACATCTTTTTAGCTAAATATGTTCTACAAGAAGCAAGAAGAGGATAAAATCAGAATGCAAGAGATGTATACGAAAAGCTTGRAGGACCAAAGAGAACAGATGAGAAATATGATGGAGGCCAACTTTGAAGCTCAAAAAAAAGAAAGAGAAGATGCTCTTGCACACCAAAAAACCATCATGGACGATAATGCTAAGATGGTTAAAAAGAACTTCGAGCAAAGAGATCAAGAAATTAAACTTCTTAGAGAACAGGTTAAGTTCTTGAAAACAAACTTATCTAATCTAATTGAAGCAAAGAGAAGTAAAGTACTATTTTAGCGTTTGTTTTAAGTCTTTTAATTATTATTATTATAAATTAACTATTATATAATGCGCGCATTGATTGCTTGCAATGTGCAAAACAAACCGTGTTTCCATAAGTGCATAGAAAAGCGACCTTTAAGCAAAGCGTTGTTATTATTTTATATTTTACTTGAGTTGAGAGAACACTTTAATGCTCTACTGAATGATAGACAAACTTGTGTCTGCATTTGCGATATGCATTAATACCGCTTGCAGCATTCTCTCTCTGTTATTTAGATTTTTAATCCCTTGGAAGTTAATAAAACGAAAAAAATTACATTACAATAGAAAGAATTGGCAAAGCATTCTGGAAGTCGCGTCATCGTAAAAATCACCTAATATGTACAATTGAATAAAATGTGTGATTTCTTACATTTGGTGCAGATGTCAGCAAAAGAGGCCCAGGCGAAAGAAGACCGAGATAACATGTCAAGAATGTACCGAGAAGAAATGGAAAAASWCAGGAAGGCAGCARAARAAAATCTTGAAGATGCCATTAAAAGGATCAATGAAGAAAATAAGGCTGAACATGAGGTTAGTCAATATCATCGTCAGCGCAAACATCACTATCACATCCGTTATTATACAGCGATTTCAGAAAATGTTCCATACAAAATATACAGTTATTTTAAAAAACGTTGTCGGGGAGAACGGCGAGCGACGATTGTCGAAGTGATATTGCACGACCGAAAGGAACTATGGTTACATTGTTTTGATAAACAAAATTTCACTTATTGATACTTGTTGATTCTTCTGTGCAAAATTGATTTATTTTTAACCGAGCTTTCGGCTTAAGCAGCCATTTTCAAGGTTGTAGTACACGTGATGATCTAATCAAACGTAGTTAACTGAAAGCGCTCGAGGAAACTGTACAATACTGGCTGCTTAAGCCGAAAGCTCGGTTAAAAATAAATCAATTTTGCACAGAAGAATCAACAAGTATCAATAATAATATGCCTGTGTACGACGAAATTCTTAACAAAATTTCACTTATTGGATTCACCTTACATAGAAATGGAGACTAAATGGAACCAATGTTTACCACAGACCACCTTAAGTACAAATCAGTTGTTATTGCCTTTCAACTAGCAAAACCCATGGCTACTCTCGCCATTTTATCCGACAACGCTTTTTGAAATAGCTATTAGCTATATGCTTCATAAAAAAAATAAGTGTATTCCACGACCGAAATGCATTGTTGATCTTCTATCGTCGTTAAAACATGATTTCGTTGTGTCAGAGTGACACACCACTATACTCATGTATGTTAGCTCTAATTTTTCTTCCTTAAGGCGATGCGTAGACAGATGGAAGAGGACATGAAAAAAAGAGAACAGATCAAGGACAGAGTGAAAAACGCGTCATTGTGGCAACGCACTAAATATTGGTTCACTGGAAACCCAGACCACTTCTGGACTTGAAATAAGCTGTCTACCAGTGGTATCTTCAGTATAATTTACAATTAGATCTCGAGGGCGAGTGGACTACGAGTCGATAGCCCATTAGGCCGAAGGACGAATGGGCTATCAGCTCGTAGTCCACGAGGCCGAGAGATCTAATCGTTTTAGTATTACTATACTAGTTGGACAAAAAATGAATGAATATATAAATAACTAAAATGTTTTTATTGCTAAATACGCAAAAATTTGTCGGTTTTCGCTAGTCGAGGACTATTGAAAATAGCCAATCAGAACGAAGGATTTCTAATAGCCCACTAGTATGGTAATACTAATATATAATAGATCTCTATCAGAAACTGAGAGACGCACGTATTAAAAAAGAAGTAAAGTAGTCTTTCGACAAGAAAACACGTAGTTTCACGTTTCAGCTTGAACAAATAGTAGTTCTGCTCGTAATGGTGTCAAATAGGGGAGATTTGTGGACACTAGTTCAAAACCATAACAACAAGAGTGTTCGACGGAGTCGATCGTAGATTRGCTTTAGCTGTTTGAAATCATAACGCAGGATAAACTGTGAAACAACTCATTTTATCATATAATTATCTATGAAATACCTATATTTCTCCATTTCGTAAAGTTGATATTTTCACTAGTGAAAATAACAAGTGGAAGTAAGAAAAAAGGTATTTTACGACATAATTTGCTTTCTTGTGTAATTATATGATAAACAGAATATTACATAGTCGATTGGAGATACGARTTTTCGCTAAGCTCACTCTCGTGAGATACCTTTTCCTTATCTCCGCGCGCCCATGTGATATTCTCTATGTATATCAGTTTGTGTAYACTATACTAACTTGATAAGCAAATAAAATAGATTATGTTTATGTTGAAGCAATCATTGGATGTGTAGAGCCCCTTTACCCCAAATAGAAGTACACGTCTATGCGAATAATCGAAAGGAACGCCGGGTAGAAACGGAGGGATGATACGGTAACTAGTGGCAACGTTTTTTCATTTTTGATGCGGATGTTTGAGTCTTGCGCGAAATCGCAAAAGTTGAGAAAAATAGTGAAAAGTTATTTTTTAGTGATTTGTATAAGAATTATTTCAAGATAACAAAGAGTCTAAAGCGAAATTTGACCTTTGTAAACGTATTTTGATGTCAATCTATTTGCCTAGCACATTCCTACGCATGCTCAAATGAATCATTGATTTCGCGGAAGACGAACTACAAAAGTCTTACTGCGCATGCTTATTAGCAGCTTTTCGCGGAAAAGCGACAGAYGTTTGCATTAATAAGTGATTGTCTACAATTTCATAACCTCTGTGCGGCTTCTGTGTACGCGATTGCGCCTTTAAACAAGTTGTAAAGAGTTGTATTCGATAAAGATTCGTCCTGCAACATTCACACATTCACATTCACTGTATAATATATCAGCAACCGTTATCAGCAACGGCGGAATGCAGAAACGTGCCCGCTGTCAAAGAAATGTTGACACTTTGTCGCGACTTTGTTTATCTTGCCAACTTTTGTTCCTTTTGCGCATGCTCGACCTTTAGTGGATATAAAAAACTCGATTCCARGAACTCCAGMATTTGTGCGTGCGTTTACTAACTAGTCCAAGGCGTTGTGTTTACTTCAAAGCGCAGTTTTGATTCAGACGTGCAAGAATCTATCAGTTTAGACCTTATATTTGTCAAGTTAAATAAGGTCAAGGTATGTCTAATGTGTTGAATTATAGATCAGATACTATAAGTGAACTGAGGCAAAGGATGTAACTACTCTGATCGTCCAATGAGTCTTTTCATGAACAAGCATAATATGAATATTCTATACTACTAGCAATGAGCTGCAAATTTTCTTCGAAGGGAAAAAGATTTATTAGAGAGTTTTAGCATCACGTTGACGGCAAACGGCAGAGCTGAACCAATGACCTAAGAATTTCGTGCCCGACCTTGTGCTTTTGGTAGTCATTTGAAAGAGCGGCTTTTCACGATTATGACAAACTCAAAATAACCCACTCTCGCGT